TAGGGCCAGGCCTCGCCATTTCCGCCGGTTCTGATCCGAAGCTCGCTGGTGGAGTGCTCCGGGGATCGCCATGAGCGAGGCCAGCCAGAACGGCTTTATCGTTCCTGCCCGGCCCCAGCCTCGTGCAGCACGCTCTTCCTCTTTCCTCGCCGGCTGGCCCCCGCTCGCGCCTCGCTCTAACGTCCTCTTCTTCTCCCGACGCCCCCACGACACTCCAATAAAATGTGGGTAATTAGAAACAAATTCTGCATGCTAGAGAACAGTACACAAGCCTGGTGTAAAAATGCGATAGGCAAAAAAGTGTGCGTGTGAGGAGGATATTAACGCTTCGCATGAGCTTTTTCTAAAGAAAACTTTTGCATCCTGTTTTCTGCACGCCGTCACTTTTGTCAACAGACTCAGCATTAAATTTGGTAGCCGAAAAAAAAAGTTCTATGAAAATCCACTATTTGAAAACTCGCAGGTTTAAAAAGTTACGGTTGCGACCGCGCGTACCGAACGGCGCGCGCGGTCGCCACCAAATGCACGCTTACAACTACGAGTGCCGGAACAGGTCGACGGGCATCTCGCTTGAAGACCTGGTCGCCTGATTCTCGACGTCAAAGCGAAGCAACAATCGGTCCGATTTTTCGTACTGTATATCTCTATGTGGCTGTCTCAGAGACTCGTAAAACAACTTGTATAAATATGTTATTTTGCAAAAGGAGTTTGTCTGCAAAACAAGTTTGTCAGACCACTTTCCAAGTCTGCACATCTATTTTTGTTCACTTCAACAAATAATGTAAAATTTAGGGCTGGGCATTTGATCGATTAACCTACTGAACAATCAATTTATGCTTTAATCGCGATTAATTTTTTTTTTAACCGGTTAGTTAAATGTTGACCACAAAAAGAAAAAAGTAAACATTCAACGCTTTCACCAGGCAGGCGTGAACGAGTACACCTGTATAAAGTCAAACCTTTAGGTGGAATATTGGCATAAAGTAAACGGTAGGGGTGAGATTTGTAACTGTAAACAAGGGGAGAGGGTTGTACGTGCCCCGGCATCATCAAAGCCGTGCAAGTGTCCGTTTAGCGTAGCAGAGACTATTGTGAACAATCGAAGGTATTCTATATATCCGGAGAAATGTCAAGGGAACCCGTGCCTCTGCAGGTAAAGTAGTAATTTGCGAGTGCGGGTGTCTTTTGACTGTACTCAACTACACATCAAAGTTGATTTAAAATCCGAAATTGTACATTGCGCCATTTATCAGTTATCACATGTCAACAACAGAAAAAAAAATCTTATGTTTGTGAATGAACGAAACCGTTTAATTAATCGACTAAAGGGTGTCGATTAATCGGTTCAAAAGTTTTAATCGACGCCCACCCCTAGTAAAATTCACTTACTTGATGTGATCGCACTGCAGTAATCCACTCCCAAGATCTTGAAGGGAAGCGGTAAAGTTCGACGCTTGAGTCACTTTTAGCGACTGTGGCATTCTTTCACGCAGCAGTAGCAAAGTTTATATTGGGGGAAACTCTAGGATTAGACGAGATGTCACATGAACCCGGAAAGGTCATAGAGACGTGAAGTTGAGACTTACTTTTATGAAGAACAATTCCAAAAAGGCTCACACCGATCCGAAATGCCACATTCACACGTGGTTTATAAATTCGCCCTCCCGCAGTTCTCGCGACCCGGGCCACCCTGGCCTACCCAATTTGTTTTATTTTTCAGTCGCTAGATGGCGCAATGTGTAGTGCTATGCTGCATTGCTGGTTGCAGGGATGGGCAAAATACATGCAAATATGTATCGAAATACAAATACAAAATACTTCGTCAAAAATGTATTTAATTACAAATCTAATTACATTTCCAAAAAAGCATTGAAGTACAAGATACAAATACAACCAAATGTATTTGGTCTCCCTCCAAATACTTTTCCAAATACATTCCTCAAAATTTGCGTCAGCGACTTCAGGACACCTGCAATGGATTTCTGGGTATCTCATTTTAATTTTGCATCGCACACTCGGGAGTTAGTGTGCGAGGCTCTAGTAACGTAATAGAAATATAATCACAAAAAAATGTAATCAGCTTGGACGTAATAGGTGCAAAAAGTACAGAGCTTCAAGCAGCTTTTTTTGTTGATTACATCTTGGTATAGACCAACAAAGAACCGAGACGACCAAGACGCACAGCACGAGCTAGAGAATTTTTTATTGTTGAAACTCGCACCGGTTACGAAAATCTGGACGACCCGCGCATTTAGAATGTTCCAGGAAAAAATATGGATGGAAATAAGGCTGGAAAGCATCACAGGTTGTCGCGGGCACTTATTTAGCTATAGTCGGATGCAACCTAAGAACAATCTTTTAGCTCCAGCCACAAGCGCATTGCGCCCATCTGAAGTGCGTCCGCCGTCGAGAAAGTAGTTCGCTAGCAACGTTGCTTTTTCTTCCTCCAGGAAACGTGTCTTAAACTACTACAATATCTATTTAATTCATTCAGGACATTTAAATAATTTAGAATACGTTTTTGTCAACGAAATAGCTGTTTAGTAAAGAAAGAAAGTCATGTCCAATGTACCGTCTTCCCAATTCGTTTTCTGTCCAAGATACTGTCTAACATACCGTCTAACATACCTCTCAGCAGTGCTAAGCCTCGCGCCCGCTTCGAAATTTTCGTTGGCGATAGCGTCGCTGGATTCTCACGTTGTCGCGCAAAAACTGCTTCAAACGCAAGCCGATACCATTAAGATTTCGTGGCGTAACCTCGGGCACGTAAAACACGGTGCAAAAAAGCAGAATAATTATCACGAGAAACTAGCGTCGCGTTGCTAAGGCCAGCAGCCATGTTGGGCTTTTCTTTTTTTTTTTTCAAAAGGATCGCGATTGGTCCACGGAATCGTGACGTCATGAAAACGATTGGCTGGCGTTTCTCGGCGTAGGATTACATTTTCCTCTGAGAGGCATTTCCGGTTTTTTCTTGTTTTTCGTCACTATTCTTGCCCTAGACTAGCACCATAATCACAAAGTCACTAAACGCTTGTGCTTGATTGACAGACACTGCATTCGGTGCAGAACGTAGTTTTCTTCCTGCTCTGGACAGTGACAATAAATTTGAGGGATGTATTTTCGCCCACAAAATTGTATTTAATTCCAATTGTATTTGAAATACCCACGTTTTGGTATTTAAATACACACATCAAATACATTACCCAATTTGTAATTAAATACAAATGCAAAATACACAAAGTATTTGAAATACGTATTTCAAATACTTGTACTTGAAATACTGCCCATCCCTGGCTGGTTGCGTATGGGCACACGAATAAGCCCGTTTCAGTATGACTTAGCAAACTGTGGAAGCTACGACTCAGTGGGCCAATTAGAGTGTCGCATAGAGACAGGTTATATCTAGAATGAACGCCTGGGAGACGCTGTCACGTGTCTCACTCCAATAAATTTACTGGCTCGTTGGGATTCGTAGAATTCGCCGTGTGCCGTGTGCCTTCTTACACGTCGCGTCGCCTGCCCCATGGCCACGGCCGGCTTGCCGACGCGCCGGCTGGACGCGACTCCGAGGCGCCCATTGCCCGGGCTTCTCGGGCTTCGTGCATGACGCTGTGCTCCCCTTGGCCGTTGTTTACTCATGCTGCGTTTTTACCTTATTATGGTTGAATGCATAGGTGCTCAGAGTGAGGCAGGAATTTCTTGTAAAACAAAAATAATATATAATATAACCAACTTTTTACAGTTCAATTCTGAAACACTTCTTATCGTTGGAAGGCGTATGACACATATCGCGATGAATCAAGCCCGTAACGAAATTTTACAATGGTGTAGCAAAAGGCAAGATTGATCAGCGGGTCGTTGAAGTGCGCTACTGCGTTGAATGAACACTTGTTAACCGAGCGACAGACAATCTGTCTCGAACCGATGGTTACAGAAACGCCGCGGGTTTGATAATTTCCGCCGAGTTATAAAAAAAAAATACCACTCAACTCAACTTCCCGAATGTGCTGCTAATTTCCGGGAACTAAATGCGCGAAATAATGCTAAATATTGTATTTAAAAACACCGCCCAGTTCGATTTTGATATGGGCCGACATTGTGCCCGGGAAGACACCTTCGATATCTTATGCTACAATTAGAATAGGATTCAGGCAATGTTGACAAAGTCATAACCTGTACTGACGCTTGTGTGCCGAACAAATCACTTAAAAGGGCGATGCAACAATTTTTGTACTTTGCGCAGATACCACTTACAACCGATCCCTTACGTTAATGACCTATGAAAGACACGTTCGTTTTTCACCCCACGCAATAGAAGTCACAGAAAAAAAAAATTAAGAAAAAAGAGCAGCCTTCACCCTTTCAGCTCGCTGCCAGAACAAGCGGCCACGTAATCTGGAGCCGATTATATGCCGCCAATGATTATCATGGCCACGCGCTGGGGTTCGCAAAGCACAGGACACGCGCCGAGTTCCAGACATTGTTATGGCTCGGCTTTTGTCGTCGTTCCAGCGATTGGACACGGGCCCCCTACCCAAATGCTTCTCAAGCTAGTAGAGAGTTTTAGTAGATCGTTCCTATAACGATACCCTATAACGATACGATAACCATACGATACCGATACACAGAACAGGAATGAGCGTTTAGTAGACCGTTTTGAAGACGATACATCCGATACGGTCACTTAAGGCCCTGGGGCACTCCCTAGTGGAAACGATTTGCAATTTCCAAAACGAAAAATAACGAAATAAAAGAAAGATGTTTCACTGAAGGAAAAATAACAGTTCTTACATTTAATAGAATGAAAAAAAACATCAATTAAGTTTTATAAGTTGCAGAAATTAGAGAAATGCAGCAGCAAGCTACATCTAGCCAACTAAAGACAAGCCAATTTATCCCCCCCCCCCTCCCCTCCCCCCCCCCCCCCCCCCCCCCGTGGCTTGTCACGGGAAGCCATAGAAAGCACGGGTGGCACGGGCGTGAGCGAGTCGAGCGAGTGACCAACCTGAGCCATGGCGACGTGTGTTTTCGAGGATCCCTTGGCCTTAGCTGTTTTGAGGTGGGACGAAATTGAAGAACTCTCCTTTCTGGATATGGAGTACCCCGTTCCGCGGAGGTTTAGGTCCGGGCGAGGCTACTTGGATGTGCTCAACATAGATAGTGAAGCTTTCCGCCATCAGTTTCGTTTTGAGCAGATGGACTTAATGGAGCTGTGTAGCGCGCTGCGAGTCCCTCATACAATTAGGACGGCCCAGAACGTCGCCATCCCCGGGCAGGAAGCTCTGTGTATTCTTCTGCGGAGACTCTCCTACCCCAACCGCCTCTGCGACCTGGAAGGCATGTTTGGCCGCCACTCTTCGACACTTTCAAGTGCGACGACCGTGGTGCTAAACCATTTGACGTCCACGTTCGGGCAGCTGACCGCGGATCTGTCAGCTCACACGTGGTTGAACCGTGCAAGCTTGGACGAGTTCTCCGAGGTAAGCATATTGTAAAGTTAAATTAAAAACACAAAAAAGAAAAAAAAAATGCAAGTGCGTTGTTGATTTTGCTTTTGCAGGCGGTCCGCGCGAAGGGGGCACCTCTTCAGAATTGCTGGGGTTTCGTTGATGGAACGGCCCGCCCCATCTGCCGACCCACGGAGGACCAGCGGCTTTATTTCTCTGGCCACAAGCGTGTGCACGCCATCAAGTATCAGGGCATCATGTGTGCCAATGGCATCATCGTGGAGATGAATGGCCCTTACCCGGGACACCGACACGACGCCGGTAAGTCAATAGCAAAAACTCGGAAATCGTAACCTACAGGTTCTTGGAAGAAGCGCTCATAAATAGAGGAACAGCCTCTATCACAGCCAAAATAAGTTGAAACGCCACAGGCAAGACCCGTGCTGCTGTCAAGGCAGCCTGTGGAATTGTTCTGCAAACTGTGATGGGCGCCGTGGCCAACACAGAGTTCCTTCTACACTGGCGGCTCACCTCTATATTTCCGTGTCGTCTGCTATTGAGCAAATGGTTGCGACATTTCTTCCTTTCGCCAAACCTCAAAACCCACGCACGATGCAGAATAAATCTTTGTTGCAGACC